CTGAATCTTCAGTCATGATAAAACCATGCATTCTTGTCTTTCATCAGCTATAGTATTGTCCATTGAATCTTGGTGGTCTATAGGTTGATTGACCTTCTTCAAAATTTGGTGGAGCAGCCATGTGGATCCTTTCTAGGTGTTAGCCCTATAGAAAGAACATGCTCTGATACCAATTGGTGTAAAATATGAGTCCGCCAAACTGTATAGAGAACCGGGTTCTCTATCAGTTCCCACAGAACACACACACACACACAACAGTAAGTAAATAACACAACAATATTTTACGTGGAAAACTCTCAGCTCACGGGATTAAAAACCACGACCTACACTCGTAAGATTTCAACTTCACTAACCGAGCAACTTTAGATTACAACTTATTGTAATCTAGGAATTAAGCTCTTAATCTCTTACCTACTTGTAATAACTCTATTGCAAGCCTCTTTGTAATAACTCTATTACAAAGCTCATCACTTTGACTAACTCTAGTCAAACACAAACACAAGATTTATGGTTTACAAAGATATCCTACGAGATGCTTATAACTAAGCTGAGTAGGAATTAAAAGTAAATAACATTAACAAAGATACAACAATACTAAGGACACACGATGAACTCAGTGTTAGGATCTGGTCCTTTGTTCTGTTGCTACTTTGTTCTTCAAGCCTTGGAGTGAAATGAAGGCGACTGCATACTTGAGAGAGAGTTAATGTTTTAGGGTTTGCAAGTGTGTGTGATCCCTTGCCTCATGTTGGTAATATATAAGTGAGGTCATTGGGATGATATAAACAAGTATCCCATATACAACATGCTTCAAAAAGTGATTGTTGCACTGTTGCATTTGCAGTGTAATAGTGCGGCAGCTTTAACAGCTGTAAAGAATTGACTTGTACTATGACCGGAGTAACTTATAGTCATTTGTTCCCTCTGATGTTCATTTGACTGATGTCATTGGAATCTGTGCCAGACCTGTGACTTGTTATACTGAGCACTTTGAGGCTTTGTATCAAGCTCTCATTTGAAGTTTGTTAAATCATCAAAATATAAAAGGCACATAACTTATCCCTAACATATTTAACTGAAAACAACCAAACGCACTAATCAGTTCATGTTGTCCACATGCCCCAATATTGAGTTACTGGCACCTTACTATGTAACTGAATGCACTAGGTAAATTAGAAAGGAGCATGCTCTGGATTGCAGAAAGGAAATAGATCCAAGAGATTGTTGAAAATTCATGAGCCTCGCAAGTCGCAAAAATTATATAACTTTTCTTTGTTTTTCGGTATTTCAATTTAGTTTTTTCTTTGTTGGGGTTTTGATCTTTGAACTAATAAAGTTGTCAAAGAAATTTCACTAGTTTGACGGATTCAAATTGAAGAGTACTAGCTTAGGGGCCCATACTTGTAAACCATGATACTTCAACAAAAGTCTATTATGCTTTATTCACAGAATTTCAACCCTTTATCCAGTGGAGAATTGAAATTGGTGGAAATACATTTTAAGAAAATGGAAGGATTTGTATAGGCAATACCCACTATAATCCGAATGCGGGAGGGGGCTGGTGCAACATGTAGTTAATATTATACTCGTACAAATTAGTGACCACCTCCCCCCTCCCTCCCCCAAACAAAAGAAAAAAATTCAATGATTCTAATTAATAAAATACGAAGATATTTCTGACTAGAGGAAAGACTTGTTAAAATTATGTGCAAATAGATTACTGCCAACCTATAGCACTAGGGGCATGTTTGGAAAGCAACCATATAATTGAATTTTGGTGTAATATTTTGTATGTATTTATATATCTGTTATATACAAATTTTATACATTTTTGTAATTATGAGAAGTAAAAGTGATGTTTGGCGAAAAAAATATTATCCCATCTTTGGATAAACTTAACCTCGGAGAAAAAGAAAAAAGAAGGGAAACTTACAAAAATATCCCAAATAAATCTCAACTTACCAACCTCTCGTCATTAGTCATATACTTACCAAAACTAGCCATTTCTGTATCAATTTCGGGCCAATTCCCCATGTTTCCGCTATCCTTGTGGAGTTCCATACGATGCGAACCAACCCTTTTACCATCACAGCTTCTTCCCCCACCTTCCGTACTCCAACAACGAGGGTCCTTCTGATACTTCTGGTGCGATGACTAATATGATAGTTGCAATGCCATTACTGCAATCACCGGCCGAGATCTTCATCTGGCCTCATCAGTCCTAATGATCTTGCAAGATAAGATAAGCTCGGGTAGCAACAACAACAACAACAAACTCAGTGGATTCTAAAAATCTAAGCAAAAAAGGAACTTTTTCAATGGGTATAGTTGAAATTCATTGAAAACATATAGATAAGTTAATATACAAAATTTGAGGAAGATTGGAGGTGATTTGGACTGGTTTTGTATCAAAATTCGTAATTAAACCGAGTTCAAAAAATGCTTCTGCGACACATGTATCAAACATGTATCACGCATGTATCTCACACACAAGTATACATGTCATACACAATTAATACAAATATGATATATATGTGATACACAGTGTGATACACATATTATTTTTTTCATGTTCAATTTTTACTTCGAATTTTCAATTCAAACCACCTCAAAACTTCACTAAATCATCCCAAAACTGAGATTCAAGCTCCTTAAGATGTACCCAATCTATTCTAATAATACTCACTCAAAAGAAAGTAAAAATTTGATATTTTTTTGCTACAAATAACTAATTAGCTAATATTAATAATATTTGATTAATATTAGTAATATTTTATAAATGGACATAAGCGTAGTTTCCAAAAAAGAAGGGAACTATACCGCGTACAGGAATCTTCTATCATTTGTCAATTGATGTCAATTGTCAATCCTCATTGGATCTTTAGAGGATACTTTCCACGCAATTTCACGCCGTTGTCCGTTAAAGAAGTTTTGCCTCAATTCGGCAGACACATCAAAATCAAAACCGAAAGTCCTACCAAAGGAAAAAGGAAACACAACTCGTGTACTAGTTTCTTTGAATTGTGTAATCACCCGGCGGCCCAATTGTGTTTGGGGCTAAAGCCAAACTTTAACGAGGGATCCTAAGTTTTTCGGTATTAAAAAACTCATTTAGTAAGATATTATTTAAAGTTTATTTTTCTAATTTTTTGAGATGTAAAATTATTAATAATTTATTTATAATCGATTTCTTGACTAGGATTATATATGTTTCCACTTTCTAGGATTATTATTCAATTCTTTTAGGAAATTATTATTCAATTCTTTTAGGATTTCCTGATTTTCTAAAAAATCTGTGACTCACCAATTTCTTCTTCTTCTTGGATTCCATTATCGTCTAGCTCAACTATATTAGTGATTTGTTCATCTACCACAATATTTTTCCTTTTTTTTAATTTAAATTTTTTATTGTTCACTAAAAATTTATCAAGCGCTCTTTTTTGGAATTGTATTACAGTTCCAATTCTTCTATTTTTTGGCATTTTTAATACGCAGTTTCATATTTTCTTGTTGACATATTACAATTCATAATAAATAAATAAAAAGATGATACATATACTTACAAACAAAAGATATCAAAAAATAATAAATTATAGATGCAAAGTAATAAGAAAAGTACGGAACAATTGAACCTGGTTTAACAAACAGTCATAGATAACTTGATATTACTTTTGCTGCTTCAATATTTTTGGTGCAATAGCTTGACAAAAAATGGTTGCAATTGCCTTTTGCTATCTTACTTGACGGAATGTTTTATGAGATAGTGGACTTGTAAAGAAAGATAAAGTAATCAAAGTAATATGGGCCTCATAATAATGATGATAGTGTATAAAGAAGGCAAGAAACATATTCACACCTAAAGTTTAGGGCTGAATCCCAAAAGTAACTATTTCTATTACCAAATTATCTCTTATTTTCTTTTTCATGAAAAATGTGCTTTTTTTTTTTTTTGATATACTAGATATTTTTCTAAAAAAATTATCACATGCACCTATTTAATATTAGAAAATTTTGGGCCCCTATAGATATGGGGCCTCAAGCAGTTGCTTGAGTTGCCTTACCATCAGACCGCCCCTGGTAATAACTTTCATTGAGTTTACTTTAGTCACGCTTCTAAAATTAACTTATTTTTTAAAAAGAAATTTCTTAAAAATATTTTTTTCAAAAGTATTTTTGGTGAAAAATAATATATGTTTGGCTAATTAATTGGCAAAGCACTCTTGAACAACAATTAATTTTTTACCAGGCTTTTAGAAAGTGTTTTTACATATATTTTACTCAAGAATGCTTTTCAAAAAAGTATTTTTGAGTTGAAGCTATTTTTTTCTACTTCTCCAAAACTGTTTCTGCTTCTACTCAAAAACACCTTTTCTAAAAAATTGGCCAAACACTTCAACTTTTAAAAGAAAACACACACAAAAAAAATATTTTGGCCTTGGAGAATCTTGGTCAACCAGGCTATCATTAGGAATTTCTTTTTGGATCATCACTAATTAAATTGTTATTAATATTCAAAAACTCCACTTAGTACGTAGTTAATTAAGAAAGGTAGCAACTTCACAAGAGCGATCACTTCTTTAACCAACTTAGGGCATTGAAATTCTCACTGTGGTGAACATATATAACAACTATGCTAAAGGATATATACATCATTCATTTATTTAATTACTTATGTCTTAACACATCTCTTCACAAGGTGCTTACTGCTTAGTATTTTTTTCCGACCAAACATGTCAAAATACATTTTAATAATTACTGATTATAACTTACTATAAGGTTTGGATTTAAAAGTTCTGGTTGTTCTAATATGATGTTAAATTAATAGTATATCTTATTTCATCCAAAAGTTTTAAGGGGTTACAAGAAATATCCACTTATGTTTTAAATAGTAAATGTTTTTAACAGGTTTAATTGACGTAAATAGGATGCATCTTTTCACTTCCGTCCCTCTCTATTTAAGCTTTACCACGGCCTATAGAAGTGCAGCATGTGCTTATCACTCCCTTCAGCTAATAATCCACTTTATATATTTTTCAACCTTCTTCTCCTTTTACCTATCTTTATATATATTTTTATCATCACACGAATTACGATCATTCAAGTCTTCCTTAATTAGGAGATTACTTCTTCATTCTTTACTGTATGAGCTTTGCAAGTTTTTCAGTAACTTTGGTTTTCTCTTTTCAAATTTTGCGTGTAATTAACATATTTGTTTTTCTGGCCAAGTAAAGCATCTTCTTCTATCTCTGATTCTACGTCTTCCTTTGTTGCTTCTTCTACACACTATCTGAGAACTTCTTGTGGAGTTTCTGAAACATATATAATTTTATATTGCTAAATTAGCAGGTAGTCCACAGGATCGTAACTATGGTCAAGAATATTGCAAAGTTATCACTTCACAATTTCTTCCAGAAAAGGTGCATATATATATGCTCTCTAATTAATTAATTAATTTTCTGAACTACCATTGCATGTGTACATTTTGTATGATCTGTCTCCATCTTGTCAATTTTTGGTTATTGGGTTTTAATTAGTTTGACCAATCTTCAGAGTTAAGAGAAATAATAGAATATTTTTTTTTATTAGTCAAATATTCAGAATCAAATCTAGAAGTTTAAACTTTTTCATATTAAAATAGTAAATCAAAAATACTTCAAAGTATTATTAGTCAAAGTAAATTAACTCTGAGAACAAAAAGCATTTGGGAGGAGGAAGTACAATTTTGCCTTTAATTTGCTAGTATATTTTGCTTTCCACTTCATCAATTTGTGGAAGATAGTGAGGTGAGGAGGGGATGTAATTGACATTGGCTGTTTTTGATCAGCATCAATTTTAATTTTGATCATAATCATACATATACACAATTCCTTTTTCCACATAAAACTAATAAAAAAAAGCTTTATGTAATAACTATATTGTTGGTTTATTCGTGATTGAACCCCTTTTTGTTCTTTTATGTAGCAACGAAACGATCCATGCATGTGCCATATATTACCTATATAGGAATGAAGACATTATATCTAAATAATATTAAGCAAGCGGCGTTAAATTAATTAGGATTTCAAATGGACTAAAGGAAATCATAAAAAGAAAATGAAAGGTTTGACACAAGAACAAAACATTCATGTTTATTTAGAAAAAGGTTGGCTTGCAGATGCTTACAAAAGTAACTAACTCCAATATAATACATGAGTGATAAGTCTATATGGACCAATGACTTTTGAAAAATAACCATAGATACATACTCCATCCTTTTTCCAGACACAATTTAATTAGATGAAGTTTAAGATGTTAATTGACTTGTATTTAAATTAGTAAATCTTATTATTAGTACCTGTGCATGAGACATTTTTGTGTTGTTTACACCAGATGACCACTTTTGTGGCCAACCTTGTATTTAGAAGTTGACCACCTTTTCAAATTTAAACTTGTAAGTTGTACCTTACTTAACAGTTTTGAATTTTAAACTTTAGACCTGGTGATCACAGTTGAACTTCAGACAATTGCTCTAATTCCTAAAAGTGATCAATTTCTAATTAAAAGGCCCGAAAAGTGGCTATTTGTGTAAATCATGATATTCCATATGAAAAGATTTATCATATAATTTAGGATTGGTTGAGTATGACTTTAGCTCAAGAACTGGACTTCTAAGACAGTATATAAAGTAAAAATATCACGGGCTAGCCAGTTTTCGGACTGGTAATTCAAAAATAGCCAACGTTTGCAAAATCATTGAAAAATAACCACTGTTTTGCTGCAATACGGACCGGTCCAGCATAATATACTGGAGATTAGTGCACATGTGTATGAACTTTCAGCATATTATGCTGGAACTTCAACACGCGGAAAGTTCCAGCATAATATACTGGAGATTGAAGCACATGTGTATGAACTTCCAGCATATTATGCTGGACCGGTATATTATACTGGAACTCCAGTATATTATGTTGGAATATTTTTCATATTTTGAACAGTGTTTTTGTTTAGATTTATCTTTACATGAAAAGTGGCTAAATTTTGATTACTTTTGAAACTGTAGCTTTTTTTCAATTACCACTTGTAAATTTGGCTATTTTTTAATTTCTCCCGTATATAATTCCTAACAAAATAGGAAGATCAAATATGTTAGTACTACAATTTTTTCCTATAGTAATCCGTACTTAGCTGAATTAACACGAAAGTTTATGCAAAAAACTCAAGAAGCAGATATAATTTCCTAGAATTTAAATAAATTAGACTTTTTTTTTAAAAAGCAGAAAAGTTAGGAATAAAGGATGAACTCCTTAAACTTAAATTGGCCATAGAAATGAAACCATTTCCACTATTCTGCACTGTCTTTGTTGGCGTTTATGTAGTTTGTAGAAATTGTTATTGTTTCATAGTCATTATGACGATTTACGTACAGTTGAATTCTTAAAGCACATATATGACCCTTCTTTGCAGTAATAAAGCTGAGGACTTTTTGAAGGATTATTACATTCCTGATTACATACTTATACCAGAAAGAAAAATACAGAATGACTATGACATAGCTTCTTGTCCTGTACTTGTATTCATCAACTCGAAAAGTGGTGGTCAACTTGGAGGACAACTTCTTTTGACATACCGTACTCTTCTTAATAAAAACCAGGTAAACCTCTGTTATATGATACTACAGTAGTTTTTAATTGAACATGGGGTCACTCAACTTGTATATATTGTTGGAAAATTGTGAAAGTTGTATAAATGCAAAGGTTGGAATGACTGTTTTCAGGTGTTTGATTTGGGTGAAAAGGCACCTGACAAGGTTCTACACCAATTTTACTCCAATTTAGAAAAGCATAAGCAAAATGGAGATAACTTGTCACATGAAATTGAAAGGAGATTAAGAGTCATTGTGAGTTTGGTAAATAATTGAAGTGTGTATGTATTACTTGTCTTTTATTTGTTTGAAGTATATTTATTTAGTCACACTCACACAGGTAGCAGGTGGGGATGGAACAGCAGGGTGGATTCTTGGTGTTGTTTCAGATCTTAAATTGGCTCATCCACCTCCAATTGCAACTGTGCCATTAGGAACTGGAAACAATCTACCTTTTGCATTTGGATGGGTAAGATACTCAGATCACATTATCTGATGGAACAACTTATTCTAAGTATGATACTATAAGCATTGCCATAGTTCTCCCTTGACTTAATTGTTGTATTTTCAGTGATTCTAATACTCTTTACAAGTATAAAATCAAAAAGGTGTTGGTCTAACTTCAGAACATTGGCCTTTATCTTTAGAGTCGGATCTAGCATGTAAACAGGGGGTGCACTTGCACTATTGTTAGGGCTCAAACTATATATATTTGCATAAAAATTCCAATACCGCCTTTAAATCCTTAATTTATTTATGTCTATGTTAGTCACTTTCCTTTTATAGAGTACTCTTGTAGGTGTTGTAGTATCATTTAATTTTGCATCTGCTTGAGAATATGTCTAATAATTGCAGGGGAAAAAGAATCCTGGTACTAATTGCCAGTCCGTGAAGTCATTCCTGAATCAAGTGAAAAATGGAAAAGAAATGAAAGTTGACAGGTAATTTTGGTTTTACTTGAGTGGTGAATCTGAAGGTTCTCTGTATATCTGCTTGTCAACAAATACATAAGTGATGTTATTATACCTTAGTTATTGCTGTAAATATTTGCTTTGTCTTGGCCTGTAATACACCATTTTGTCTATTAATCTTCACTACATACAGTGTCCAATACTTCCTCATATATTATACTGCATTAATTTGAATAATGCTATGGGTTTCTACTGGCAGCTTTAAGAGTGAAGAAAACCTGATTTCTGGATTTAAAATATCAGATCATGAATAGAACTCTTAGCAGAGATTGACACCATCCCTAGGTATTCTTGATCTAAACATTATAGCTAGCAGGATGGATTTATTTTAATAACATCGTGTCTGGGCCAGCTTGCACACACCTCAACTATTCTATCAGATACCTGCTACATCCCACCAGGATGATATACTTGTAGACATCTAGTATCTTGTGTTAATTAACCTGAAGAGTGGTTTCTATTAAAATCATGACTTTACTGTAATTATATGTGAACAGAGAAAATTTATCTTATGCTTTTTGAATACAGCTGGTTTCAACGGTTTACCTTTTCTACATTGACTGACACTGATGTGCAAGCTGTTTGAAGGAAAATCCGTGATTGTGTGCCTACAAAATAAAATCAAGAACTTGTTTTTAAATATGTTCAAGCCGTTTAGCACGACAATTTGTGCATCTTTTATTGCATATTTAACTTAAGCATCACTTTGCTATCTCTACCACTGAACCATTCCAGTTGCATCTTACACTTGAGATTTGTAGTTTGGAGTAAAATGAGAAGGAAAATTTGAGCCAGTATTGTGAACTGTCCAGATAGTGATTAATCATTTAGGTCAGAATCTTAGAGTATGATTGAGATTATGCTTTTACCTTACATGAAAAAAAGACACGGTTTCAAGCATTTAGAGATTGTTTATTATGCTGCTTATCTGAAAGAACCGTTGTTATTTTCCAGCAGCGCGCAAGCTTTTGCAAATCAATATAATATTAGCAAGAAAATATTTAACGAAATCTGGATAAGCAAATTAGGCCTTATCATTTTCTGACATATTAGTTTGTATAACATGAAACTGCAACTTTTGCTACCTCTATTAGTTGGCTGGATTTCTTGCTCTCTACAAGGCACGGGCAAGTTTATTGGCATAAAGATGACCCATTCGCCATAGACCAACTTTTCATTGTGTAAACCTGAAAATCTTCACTTGGCTGACATGATTGTTATTACGTTTCAGCTGGCGTATTCTTATGAAAATGAAGGCTCCTAAAGAAGGTTCTTGTGTTCCAATCACACCTCTTGAGCTACCACATTCATTGCATGCTTTTAACCATGTGTCTCGAGCTGATACTTTGAACAAGGTATCAAACTGTTCAGTCCATTATTTCTTTTGTTTAGTGTATAAATCAGCTAAAAATATATTCTAGCAGAGAGTATCTAGATTTTCCCTTTCTGTCGCCTACTGGAAATGTGATGAGTATTTACTTCTTGTGCTTAAGTAAATGAAATCTTACAACTAGAATGATGTTCCAGCTTAAACATCCTTTCTAGATGCTAGAATACATCTGATATCTGATTGATTGGGTTAAAAAATAACTTGTTGATCTTATACCTTGCTAACTTTTACTTGAGATGTCTGATACTCTCGCTAAGGAAATGAATAAGTTAATTTGATTTCACCTGCTTGAATTTATCTCCCTCTTATCATGCATTGCTTTACCTTAAGGTGCATTATGCCTATTTTCAGGAACGCCATCATATATTTCGAGGAGGATTTTGGAACTACTTCAGCATCGGTAAGTGTTTTAATCCCTCATCTTAAATATATCTTTTTTTGGTTATTGTAGTATTCAAGTACTCCACTTTGGCACTTGAAGCTTAAATGAATTCTATGGGGTGGTATACATTTGGCCTGTTTATTGAACAATCCAGACAAATTGGTTTATGACACCCTTCTCTGTCTAATGCAAAGCTATACATGAGGTCTACATTCCCTAGAAGCACTGCATATTTGAATGTGTCATGATTTTATCAAGAACTTAATTTTTGCATTATCTAGTGTTGTATTCTTTTCATTCTCGAGTCGAAGCTTTTCATCTTTTTCACTTTTTTCATTTTTCCATAACTTGCAGGAATGGATGCTCAAGTTTCATATGCATTTCACAGCGAGAGGAAGCTACATCCAGAAAAGTTCAGACACCAGTTAGTTAATCAGGTCCTCTTACTGTCATTTGGAACATGGTGTCATTTAAATTTCCCTACTTGTGGTTTGTTTTTATGTTCTGAAGTAGCTTACAAAGTCTCTTGACATGTCAAATATGGCTATATAATTAAAGATAGCCCTGCCACCAATGGTATCCCGATCATGTGGATGTTTGTTCAATTTTATCTTTTCATCTATGCTTCTTACTGGTGGTCCTTTTGTTTTCTATTTGTTCAATTACTTTTATTTGAAATCTTCTCTGATAGTCCTTTCTCTTTGTTTACGATTTGCTTAGAGAACTTATGGAAAGCTTGTATGTAAACAAGGATGGTTTTGCACTTCTTTCGTGCATCCATCTTCAAGGTTAGTCTTCTAGTCAAGGTTAACCTGTATATATCGCTGGCCGTATCATGTCTTTCTTTATTTGTTTGAACACATTCCATTACCTTTCTCCCCTGCTAGTATGAACATCATTATGATTTGGAATTAATTTTAGTGATAGTTAGTTCCAAGAGGTTTCTTTTTGCATGTGCTAGAAGAAGGAAGATAAAACCATTACTCATGACCTAGCGACAAAACATTTTAGATATTTAATGAACTATATGGCAATAAATACCAGGAAATGGACTTTTCAAAATATCATAGTCTATGTTATTAGGACTTTGTGATATAGTATCAGCATTTTAGTCTCATTATGAATCCTCAATATCATTCTCATGCTTTTGTATTTTGCCTTTGATGTCAGATAGTCATGTAACAAGACATTTATGATCTTGGCATCTTAACACTTTGTCACCTACTGCAAAGAATTTATTCATATTTGTTTGTCGATCTGTGTTCTGTGTTCCATTAGTATGTGAAGAGGATGAGGTTGTAACAGACTAACAGTGCCTCTTTCATTTCAAACTAAACACTGAATGAATCCGTTTTTTCTGCAGAAACATGGGACAGCTAGCAAATGTCAAAATAATGAAAAGGCCAGGAGAATGGATAGACCTCCACATACCTAGAAGGTAGCAATATGGCGCTCTATAACCTGCACCATTTGCATTTTACTTTTAAATCTCCAATAGGTGAATAGATGACATAAGTTTTGGTAATCTTCACAAATAGTTCATGGTTGTATGTGCAGCATTAGGTCTATTGTCTGCCTTAATTTGCCCAGCTTTTCTGGAGGACTTAATCCTTGGGGAAGACCTAACAAGAAGAAGTTGCATGAGGTCAGATTCTATTTTCTTTAAGTACCTTATGCCCGAATCTAATATAAGAATGCCATATGTTAATAAGATAAGTTGGCTGGATCCTTCTATTGAAACATTTTCTGTATTGCTTTTATGTTTGTACTTTAACAGAGGGACCTTACTCCTCCATATGTTGATGATGGTCTGCTTGAGGTTGTTGGTTTCCGAGATGCTTGGCATGGACTTATTTTGTTTACTCCAGGAGGGCACGGAACACGCCTTGCACAGGTTGTTTGATCAAGAAAAATTCTTAAGATGGAAATATGTTTGATCAATTCAATGTGTTTCTCTGGTGCATTTTGTTAAGTTCTTTGGTTAATAAGTGCTCATAATACAGAGAAGCTAATGTTGTTCTCTATTTTATATCTGTAGGCAAAGAGAATCCGGTTTGAGTTTCAGAAGGGTGCAGGTGAGCATACATTTATGAGGATGGATGGGGAACCATGGAAGCAACGTCTTCCCGCGGATGATGACACAGTGGTTATAGAAATATCCCATTTTGGTCAAGTGAACATGCTTGCCAGTCCACATTGCCAATCCAGAAGTATCAATGCGCCTACTTCAGATCACCTTCAGGAGGAAGAGAAAGATTTTGAAGATGACTTAGAAGAGAGGAGAAAGTTGGGTGCAGCTGACACTTTCCGGATACCAGATGGCTTTGACATAACACATCTTTAGTTAGGCGTTTTACTCTTGAAGGTCTTGGTGAGTAGAGTTATTCAATACTTCCGCTGATAGAAGGTAGCAAGTACCCGATAATATAGTCGAGGTATGCACACGCTCGTCGTTTACATTACTAGTTGGTTTAGGCCTTCGGAAGAATATCTAGTGTTAGTAGTTTACATTACTGGCATATTACCAGGTTCTTAGAGTGCACATGTAAGCAACAACTTCCAGTAACACCTTCTCCACTTTGCTTCTAGTCTCACTTTTATGTAATGCGTAACAACTTAATGCCCTGGATTTTCATAATAATATCTTATGCAATGGTGATTTGCTATACTTGCTTGAAGCAAAATGTTGGTGTCAGTTGTCACAGTCAGTGTGATATGTGCTTGACGTTTAGACCCCGTATTGGAATGATAATCAAAACGTGGTAGAGTTGACCAAAGACAGTAAGGTGGAATGTGTGACAAAATGGCACAATACTAATGGCATGTTTGGCCAAGTTTCTCAAGTGGAAACAATATTTTTTTTTCTCTCAAAAGCACTTTTCCCCCCTAACTTGAGGTGTTTGGCCAAGCTTTTTTGTGGGAAAAAAGTACTTTTGGGAAGAAGCAGAAGCAATTTCTGAGAAGCAGAAAAATAGCTTCTCCCCAAAAGCAGAAGCAGAAGCAGTTTTGACTTTTCTTCTTACCAAAAATACCCTTAACAAAATATAGTATATACCAAAATAATCGTTAAACCTAATACTTAGGATATTAATGTATAAATATTTTTTATTATTTTTAGGATAACTTTTCAATATATAGTGACTTTAGGGGTGAATGCTTTTATATTTGTTGAATGATTTTTTAATATATTTAACTTATATTAAAAGATTTAAGTACTTTTAAATTTTATTTTCATATTTTACTTAAATAAAATGAAAAGATTTAATTACTGCATGTAATAATAAATTTTTAAGATTATTAATTTACTTATAATATTAACTATTAAGTAAATCTATTCATGTCCTTATTCGTAATTTGATACTTAAAAGAACTTTTTGAAAAGTTTGGCCAAACATAAATAATTGCTGAAAAGTGCTTTTCAGAGTGATTAGCCAAACACAAACTGCTTCTATGCAAAAGTATTTTTTTCAAAAGCACTTTTGAAAAAAACACTTCTCAAAATAAGTTGATTTCTCCAACTTGGCCAAACAGGCTATAAGTCCCCAACTTTATCTTTTAATTTTTCTTATTCCAAATTTACAAGAGTCTTTTACATTTTTAGGTTTCTTGTTAGAACTTACAAATTGTATTAAAGTGATATTTCCTACAATTAATAGATTGCAAAGTTGTAACATAAAAAATCGTTCTAAAAAAAAGCTAGTGAAATGTTGTTACATAATATATAGCGTAATAAAAATATTTTAATTGGCTATAAACCTAATACAAAATATAAAGAAAATAAAAAAAAGACACCGAATTTATATTAAATACTACTAAATATACTCTATTTAGTCTATAATATAGTGTAATAAAAATATGAAAATCTTGCATAAATGTCCCAAATAAGTTCCAACTTACTAACCTCTAGCCATTAATCATAGATTTACCAAAACTAGCCAAACACATATAAAAATTAAAAAACTCAAATAAATAAGATTTTTTCTCTCCAACAATCACACACAAAGATCTCCTTCCATATTTTTAAGCGTGATCAGCAACATTAGATGCAATACGGAAAAAAAATTTCATGAATGAGATAGCAAACAAGGTAATGAAATACAAATATATATATNATTGAAATTCATTGAAAACATATAGATGAGTCAATATACAAAATTTGAGGTAGATTAGAGGTGATTTGGACTGATTTGGCATCAAAATTCGTAGTTAAAATCGAGTTTGAAAATTTTTTCAGTGACACTTGTATCGAACATATATCACACATGTATCCTACACATAGGTATACATGAATATACACGTGATACACATTTGATACAAATGTGATACACACATTATTTTTTTCATATTCATCTTCAACTTCGAATTTTCAATTCAAACCACCTCAAAACTCCATCAAATCATCTCAAAACTGAGATTCAAGCTCCTTAAGATATACCCAATCTATTCTAATAACACTCATCAAAAGAAAGCAAACATTTAACATTTTTTTAGCTACAAATACTGAATTGGCTAATATTAGTAATATTTTATGAATTGGCCAATTTTTATAATAAACTACTTATAAATGGACATAACTGGTAGTTTCCCTAAAAATATTTTAATTGCTATGCCAAGATTGATGTGTAAGATTTTCCTACGTATATGGGTGGCCCAATAGGTTTAAGACCCGTAATTAATATTTAATTACTGAGCAAATCTCATCCGTCCGATCGGTTACTTGATGGACATACCAGATTAAGTCAATTACTCTATAAATTGGTCATCTCCCCACTCATTAGGGTTAGCACATATTCTATTCTTCTTTCCCATCACTAAAGGCGGCGGTAACGTAAAGTTAGGGCAAGGGGCGAGAAATCAATTTCAATTAACGCTTCCACTTCGGGATAATGGCTTCCGCTTCATGTATGTTTTCTATAACGATTATATATAAGATTATCATGTTCAAGATTCTGGTATGAATTAAAGTTTATGCTTGCATGTGCTATCATGAACCTGAGATTTGAATTGATAATCTTCGATAAAGAATGTAATGTTAAACATATATATATATATATATATATATATATGTGTGTGTGTGTGTGTGTGTGTGTGTGTGTGTGTNACCTTCTTGCTTGAATTAACCTCCGGACATCTCAAATCTATCCAACTTAATTGTATAACTTAATTAAAATTCAGAAATAATTCCGGATACTAAAACGCCGACTTAGAATTTTACATTTAAAAAGTCAAGCAAAGTCAACACTAGGCCCGTATCTCGGAACCCGGTAGAAATTTTACGAAATTCGAACACCCATTTCGATATGAGTTCAACCATACCAATTTTATCAAATTCCGATAACAACTCGGCCTCCAAATCTAAATTTTTCGTTTTTGAAAGATTTTGCAAAACCCCCAATTTCTTTCATTTAAATCAGAATTAAGTGATGAATATAACCATATATTTATGAAACTATTGGAATCATACGCCTAAGTCTAAAATCAAATCCAAATCCGAGCATACGCCTAAGTCTAAAATCAAATCCAAATCCGAGCATACGCCTAAGTCTAAAATCACCATACGAAACTATTGGAATCATCAAAATTCTATTCTAGAGTCATTTGCTCAAAATTCAAACTCCGGTCAACTCTTTTCATTTAAGTTTCAAAAATAAAAGTTGTTCTGTCAATTAAATTCCAAATCTTCCGAAAATCAAACTCGGCCGTACAAGCAAGTCATACTACATATTACGAAGTTGCTCGGGACCTTAAGTCACTGAATGGGGCGTAAATTCTTAAAACGACAAGTCGGATCGTTACAATTATAATTATTCTTGTAATCCGATTAGACTTTCATTTGGATAGATTTTACTTTATTTATGTATTTTAATTTATGGATTTTGTAATGAGATATTATCTCAAATATAATATTAATTGTTTAGAATTATATGATCATGGATGAATTTTTTTATTGTTACCTTTCATGTTTTATTATGTTATTTCCACTTTGTAAAATGATCAATTATCAATTAATGGAAAACTGGGTATATTAATTATAAATAGAACTACTACGAATTTAAATGACATCAAATTTTGTAAGTATTGACAAAATGTTATACCCGTAAAACCTTATTTTTCAGCAACAATAATATTATGCCTTCCAAGACAATCATGTTTATATTAGTTCGTCACAAATTGAATGTATCTAGTGCCAAAAATAATATTTGTCTGAGAATTGCTTTTATCGAGCACAACTTAAAGTTGTATTTTATGACAAGTGCAATTGTCACTAATCATAAAAAATTATAGTGATAATTTTATTTGGTCGGCAAAAATAAAATTTGTAGACGAAATTAAGTTTTAACTACAAAATTATAAACCATTTTTACAAAAGAAAATTTGTCACTAATTCATACATTTAGGGACAAAATATTTATTCGTATGTAAAAGATGATTTTTAGTGACAAAATCACTCATGTACAACTACGAAATGTGCACAATTTTAGAGATAATTGACTTCGTCACTAATTAAGCTAAATAGTTAGTGACAAAATTATTTTGTCGGTGTTAATAATTTTTTTAGTGACAAAAACTGACAAACAGCTACAATTTTTATTTTACTTTTTCTGACAAACAAGCTTGTCACTAAAACTATTCATCTGGGGACGGAAAAAAATTGTTGTTAATATAGTTTTATTTAGTGACGAAACACTAAGTTGTCTTTGTATACTTTTAGTGACCCTCTCACAGGGACGAACTATTGACAATTTGTTTTTCGTCACAAAAGTCCTTTTGTGACGAAATATGATGTTTAAGTGACAAAATAATTCGTCACTAATAATCAAATTTGTTGTAGTATTTCACACAAATACCAAATATTCTTCCAGTTGTTGCAGAACACTTTGACAACACATAGCAACATTTGGATAAAACACTTCATGAAGAAACTAACTCACAAATATCTGACACAAATGAACCACAAGAAATGCCATTAAGAAAATCTCAAAGAGTTAGAAAATCGACTATTTCAGATGATTACGTGGTTTATTTGCAAGAGTCAGATTTTGACATTGGTCTTAATAAAAATCCGATTTCATATTCACAAGCCATAGAAAGTAATGAGTCTGACAAATGGATTGATGTCATGAATGAAGAGTTAAAATACATTGAATGCAATGACGTCTGGGATCTCGTTGAATTGCCAGAAAGTTCTAAAAGAATCGGGTGTAGATGGGTCTTTAAGACCAAACGCGATTCAAATGGCAATATTGAATGATATAAAGCCAGACTTGTTGGCAAGGGTTATACTCAGAAAGGAGGCATTGATTATAAAGAAACTTTTTCACCGGTCTCAAAGAAAGGCTCGTTAAGAATTATTATGGCTTTGGTGGCTCATTATGATTTAGAGTTACACCAAATGGATGTGAAAACTACCTTTATTAATGGAGACCTCGGGGAGGAAGTTTATATGGATCAACCAGAGGGTATCGAAACTAAAGGAAAAAGGTCAAATGGTGTATAAACTGAAGAAGTCAATATATGGACTCAAACAAGACTCACGACAATGGTATATAAAGTTTAATGATACCATAATTTTTTTTGAATTTGTAGAAAATACCGTTGATCAGTGTATATACCAAAAGATCAATGGGAGCAAGTTTATATTTTTGGTCCTATATGTTGACGATATTCTACTTGCTGCTAATGATTTAGGCACATTACATGAGACTAAAGATTTTCTCTCGAAGAATTTTGAAATGAAAGATATGGGTGAGGCATCCTATGTGATAGGAATAGAAATATTTCATGATATATCATAAGGATTATTGGGATTATCTCATAAAGGCTATATTGAAAGAGTTCTAGAGAGATTTAATTTGAACAATTATTCAGTAGGAATTGTTCCAATTCAAAAAGGGGGCAAATTTAGTCTCATGCAATGCCCTAAGAATAATGTAGAACGAAAATAAATGGAATAAATTCCTTACTATTCTATTGTTTGTAGTCTAATGTATACTCAGACTTGCACAAGACCGGATATTAGTTTCGCGGTCGAAATGCTAGGAAGATATCAGAGTAACCCAGGAATTGATCACTGGAAAGATGCAAAGAAAGTCTTGAGGTACCTGAAAGGAACGAAGGATTACATGCTCATGTACATGAGATCCAAGAATTTAGAAGTTGTTGGATACTCGGATTCAGATTTCGCTGGATGTATTGATACTAGAAAGTCCACGTTTGGTTATTTGTTCCAATTAGCCGAATGAGCAATACCATGGAAGAGTGCCAAACAGTCTGCCATTGCTACATCCACGATGGAAACAGAATTTGTGGCATGTTTTGAAGCCATTATTCATGCATTATGGCTACGAAACTTTATTTCAAGACTTGGGGTTGTCGACACCATTACCAAGCCGCTGAAAATTTATTGTGATAATTGTGCAACAATATTCTTCTCCAAGAACGATAAGTACTCCATATGTGCCAAACATATGGAATTAAAGTACTTTACCGTCAAGGAGGAAGTTCAGAAACAAAGAATGTCACTTGAGCATATTAGAACTGATCTCATAATTGTAGATCTGTTAACGAAAGGTTTACAACCAAAGATATTTAAAGAACATGTACATAGAATGAGCCTTGGCTGTATTTATGATTGATGTATTTATGATGTTTTGACACTGTGAGCTCATTTATGTGTTTATGATATACATTAACAATTTTTCGTTTCTCATAATGGTGTACACATTATTGTTTTGAAATATTACAGGATAAGTCTCAATCAGACATTATTGTGGATAATAATATTTTATAGTTTATGGACCTGGTACGATGAATTACTAATATTGTAGTATATGGAAGGGAGTATGTAGACAGAATATGTATGACCTCCATAACTCACATTTAGTAGTTTATCGTATTATGGTATCTATGTTGGACATTATAGAAGATATTTGTTTATGCGCAACTAATATTTATATGATTAAATATTAATGTTATGTGATTATTGGGCCAAGTGGGAGAATGTAAGATTTTCCTACGTATATGGGTGGCCCAATAGGTTTAAGGCCAGTAATTAATATTTAATTACTGAGCAAATCTCATCTGTTCGATCGGTTACTTGATGGACGTACCAGATTAAGTCAATTACTCTATAAATTGGTCCTCTCCCTACCCATTAAGGTTACCACCTATTCTATTCTTCTTTCCCATCACTAAAGGCGGCGATAACGTAAAGTTATGGCAAGGGGCGAGAAACCAATTTCAATTAACACTTCCGCTTCAGGTATGTTTTCTATAATGATTATATGTAAGATTATTATATTTAAGATTATGGTATGCATTAAAGTTTATGCTTACATGTAGACATTTGAAACTCTTGAATTTTTACCCCTAAGGATATTAATGTAAAGCTGTAAATAGGGGGTGGAGGGAGAGGTAGGTGCTGGAAGCTATAGGAAGCTGAGATTGTTCAGCTTTCTCTTTTTGAATTTTGTTTTGTTTGTATATCTTTTTTCCCTGATAAATAAAATGCATAATTACCAAAAAAAAATATACTCTATTTTGTATTCAATAAAATCTATAACAATTTTTTCCAATGAAAAAACGAGAATTAAAGTTTAATTAATTTTTACATATAAAATACGTAAACATTTTTGAAACAGGATAAGAAGGAAAAACAAATCCTAAACAAATTAGTATGGATATTGGAATATGATTATTGGAGGGGAGCCTTGGCGTAAGTAGTAAAGTTGTTGCCATGTGACCAGAAGATCACGGGTTCGAGCCGTGAAAATAGTCTCTTGTAAAAATGTAGGGTAAGACTGCGCACAATAGACCCTTGTGATCCGACTTTTTCTCGAACCCCGCACATAACAGGAACTTAGCACATCAGACTGTTTTTTTTTTAATTGAAATATGATTATTCTTTGTTTTTTTTCCCTTTAATATTCTTAGGATAAGAATCCATCCCCAGGCCTATTGACAAAGAGAAAACCATGTGCGCCCTTGCTCCCCCAGTCCTGTCCTTAAAGGCTTAAACAAAGAAAGAGAGTTGAGGACAAAGATATACAATTTGCCGCCGCCCATTCTTTAACATTTTCTCTTAGCACGTTCAATGTACATACCCCCCACTGGTCATTGAAAATTGAAAACCAGGGGACAGGTGCCTCTAACCGCCTTTTTCCCATATTACAATTTCCTACGGCTTTCCTTTTCATTCTCCTATATAAGAAAGTGCCACTAACACTTCATTTTCATCCAAAATCACAAGCGACTTAGAAATCAGACACGAAACTTTTTCAAGATTCAAGAAGCAGCAGCAGCAAAATGAGTTCGTCAAGAAGAGCTTGGATAGTGGCAACAAGCATTGGAGCAGTGGAGGCATTAAAAGATCAAGGTTTTGCAAGATGGAATTATACAATGAGGTTGCTACATCAACATGCCAAGGCTAATCTCATGAGGCCTTATTCTCGTCAAGTTAAGAGACTCTCTGGTGGACAATCTTCGAAACTTGTGTCAAATAAAATGATGAGGGAGCAGAAATTGAAACAATCTGAAGAGTCTTTGAGAAATGTCATGTACTTGAGCTGTTGGGGGCCTAATTCGTAATGTCGATCTCAGTTCCCCATTATCTGTATATATTGATGATGATCACGATAAATCAACTGAATGTTGTTGCCTTTTAGTTTCTCCATTAATTATTATCCTAATTAATCTCTCATTATCTCTATTGAGAAACTAAAAGTGGAAAGATGGAAAATACAAACTTCCACTTACAACCAATCACCTAACTTTAGAGCTTGGGTACAATGTGGAATACTCATAACTAGACCAAAAGTCAGATTGTTGAGATCAAAATTGGCACAGCCTATACTATATATATTACCTATTACGACACTCATTTAGCGAACGAATAATTATCGAAATCCTCGTATTTCCGGATAGCATATGTAAAGAGATCTGCCAACCAAATAATTAGTAAACCTTAATTAGTATACCTAGAGAATTTCAACGACTGATAAAACTTTTGGCCAGTAAAATATTAGGCCACATGGGATGATATTCGTAGAGGAGAGGTGTTTTTTGCATCAATTCTATAACGTCAGGTATAATATTGGATTGAAAGTATAATAGAAGACATAAATAATTCTTTTTGCATAGTAAATAATAGGTATTTATGATCCTTTTTTTAAATATTTATTGATATTTTTTAGTATTTAAAATTATATATTTATAAAGTTTTATAATCACACAAATGTTATGACATTTCAAAAATTTTATAGCCACATAAATGTTACTCCTATAACATATCTTAGATAATAAATTTTAAAAATCTTTTTTTTAAAACTAAATGTGAATTTAAGATTTGTACAAGAAATACTTTAACACTTTTAAAAATTGTAATATTAAATTAGTTAAATTCTTTAAATCCATGTCTTTGTAAAATTGGCCCCACAAATTTTGGATTTTGCTGGGAGGTTTCCTTCAGATCTCATTTGGAAGAAAAGTGAACAAAGGATTTTTTCCGTTCTTTTATTACTACTGATATAATACCACTGTTTCTGACCTTAAAAGTCTTCTACAACCAACCTAAAGCTCCCACATAAACGACGACATTAATTCCCCTAATTTTTATGGTCTGAAATTGTAATATTATCATCAGAAATCCACTACGCTCCGGCCATGGCTACCGCCGACCGCCATAAGCAACAACCCTCCGACGGGTGGCTCTGCCCCTTCACTAAATCAATATTTCCGGCTTGGCTTAGGCGTAGGCTCCGTCTTGATCCTGCTAGCAAACTCTACTTTCCTTGTGAGTAGACTTTATTTACTTACATGTTTACTACTTCTTCTCGTTATTCCATTTTTAGGTCGTTTTATATGAAGAGATGATACTACCTCTGTTTCAATTTATGTGAAGTTGTTTCATTAGACGTGAATAAAAAAAACTTTTGAAACTTGCGGCAAGTCATAGAAATTTGTATCCCTATACATCATTTAATTAACGGTAATTAAAAGTTTAAACCTTAATTATTTCTGAATATAAATATGTACCATTCTTTAGGAATATACTAAATAGAAAATAGTATCACACAAAATGGGATGAAGGAAAGTATATGATAGTATCATGTGATATGTAGTAAGAGTTGTGATATTTGTAAAGCAAAACGGTTTCGTGCCCATACGTGAAAGGAAGATAATGGTATTTAGTTAAAGTAATTTTTTAGGAGAAGTATTTCCACAATTTAAGGTAATCAAACACTGGAAAAAGAATTTTGGTTTAGCTATGTAATGTTGACAATGACAGAGAATATTGGTTCCTGTTTTTGGTTTTGTGTTCTGAAGATGAACCCGGAAAGCAGGCGAAGAGTGCTGTAAGGATGAAGAACACAAGCAAATCTTATGTTGCATTCAAGGTAAACTACTAATCCCCATTTTTGTTCAGCGCTTTTGTGCTAGTTGATTTTTTTCATCTATATATCCTTGCAACCTTTGAAGCTTTTGGCATTCATAACAAATGCAGTTTTAAAGTTTATACATTTAGTTAAAACGGACATTGAATATGAGGTGTCATTGTTTTGTAATGACTTCACCTTTTCTGGATCCATTTTTTCGCGTGGAAGCTTAGTGATTTATAACTTCTTTTCTTAAGTTCTAAAATTGGTGATGTATCTTGCAAAATTCGATTCAAAGATATTGTATTGTTATCTTCATCATAAATCATTAATTGATATGGATGACACAATATAAGCAGCAGTCTAAGTTTCCACTTCCTTTCGAATTTTAAGTTAAATTTGTTGTTCCTTTTGAATGTTTTAGTTTCAAACTACTGCACCAAAAAGCTGCTACATGCGACCTCCTGGAGGTATTCTTACACCTGGTGAAATCCTGATTGCCACTGGTATTCACTTTTCCTCAGTTTTATTTCAATTAATTTTATATCTCATTTGTTTTCAGTGTACATCCTCCATTTATTTTCTATTATATATCTGGTTGACAGTCTTCAAGTTTATTGAGCTCCCTGAGAACAATGAGAAGCCTATAGTAGATCAAAAGACCAAGGTAAAGTTCAAGATCGTGAGTTTGAAGGTGAAAGAAGGAACTGATTATGTACCTGAGTTGGTAAGTTAATCAAATTACTAGGTGTTGAAAAATGGCAAATTTCTTTATATTGCATTCCATGACCAGAAAAATGATTCGGTGTCATCCCTATTCATTGGCAAATATGCTTGTGTACTTTGTTCTCGGCGCATGTTACACATTGAACTTGTCACTGACAGAATCCTGTTTATTAGTATCCATGCAATGCAAATTTTCAATCTTGAATTTATGAAAATTTCTAGATGGATTGTTTATATCGTGGACTTAAATGTACTTCGTATTGAGAGTCATTAAGTTTCTTGTTTGTCTTTCTATTCCATGCATCTTCTTTGGATGGAACCCAATCCAATTTGCTCAAATATATTTTAGTAACAATGACTAAGACAAATAGCTCGCGCAGTCTTCAGTAAGAGAGTTCTGTCAAGTTTAATGACTGAATATTCTACTGGTTGCTGGGCCATATTGACATCTTATTAGATCTTCGTTTCTTTCCATCTACAATTAAACATATTAGTAATTTGTTAAATGAGGGTACAAGCTCTGGATTTGATGCCCTTTTGTTCCGAGACAAATCCGTTTCACAGAGGATCTAAATCTAATATAATTGGTGCTGGCTAAATTCGCATGGCGTGATTGCTTCTTCTTTTCCCTTCACTTATGTAGGAGTTGCTCCACTTGGTTGGGGTTCTAGAAAAACGTTGACTGCTGCAGAGGTTCTTTTCTGTGGGTGACGGCTGAAAGGGTGCTATGTCCGTATCGACTCATTTCCAGAAAAGAAAATGCATTGATGAAATCTCATAGAGATATGTTTATAATCTTAATCTAAATCAGGACATTTCCCTCTCTGCTCTCTACATTCTCGTGTTGTTCTTTGCCCCAGAAAAACGATTATTGACTATGTCTACGATGACAAAACTTCTGACAGATATGCTTGTTGTGAAGTTTCTCTTTATGATAAATTTCTTTGTAATCTATTTTTTTTTTTTGGGCTAATCTCAAAAGTTTAATCAGCTAAAATCTTAACACTGGCTTTTGTGATAAACAGAGTGCTGATTGTTGAGATTAGAAACTTCTAAAACTTAATGATGTATAGTTGCTTTTGCATGCAACTCCAAAGTGTAAAATTTCCACCTCTTCAACAGTGGCGGAGGCAGGATTAACGCCAAGGGGGTTCAAAATAAAAGAGATTGTGACCCGTGGGAATTTAACTAATGACCTTACAAAAGTTTTGAACCCCTTGACCACTAAGCTATGCTTTTGGGTTGTGTCAAGGGGATTCAAAATATAATATATAGAGATACAAAATAAATTTTACCTTATATGCACAGTGTAATTTTCCGGCAAAGGGGGTTCGGGCGAACCCCCTTCCGCCCCTCTAAATCCGCCCCTGCTCTTCAATTTCCTAAAAGTGAGAAGGATAATAATTTCATACATAATCCATTTCTTTCCAATTTGTTCAGCCATAACTTTTATCATTCTGCATATCTACGATATTTTTTTTCCTTTTATCATCACTCAATACTCCTAGGATAATAGTCTTGGTTCAACCGTATGACTCTTATATTTGACCTGGGTGCTATTCCTGGGAGAAACTTTACAGTGTAAGAGGTAAAACATAGGTGAGGGTCTGTGCTTTGGTTGCCCTTATATCTAATATCTGTTCTGTATCAAAATTATATACGGGGTGTGTGCTTTTGGTTGCCGGTATATCAAATATCTGCTCTGTATCACAGTACTACTGTAGCTTTAGTGGTATAACTTTCATTGGTTATTTTATGCAGTTTGATGAGCAAAATGAGCTTTAGTGGTGTAACCCCCATTGGTTGTTTTATGCAGTTCGATGAACAAAAGGATCAAGTTACTGTTGAGCGTACTCTAAGGGTGGTGTTTTTGGACCCTGAACGCCCTTCTCCAGTAAGAGTTAGACATATTATATTTTGTTGTTGTACATTGTGCAAATGTCCAATCTCCAACCAAAGTAATTTGAATGATTGAAGGCACTGGATAAACTAAAACGTCAGTTGGCCCAAGCTGAGGCTGCAGCAGAAGCTGACAAGAAACCTCCAGTTGACACAGGTCCGAAAGTTGTGGGAGAAGGTTTAATAGTAGATGAATGGGTAAGCATATCTGATGTTTGTGTAAAGACATCATTCTAATTCCTGGCCTACTTCATTCCTCTAACAATGTGTTTTTGCTCACTATGCTTACAGAAGGAGCGGAGGGAGAGGTATCTTGCCCGGCAACAGGTTGAGGCAGTGGATTCAGTGTAAAGCAGTAAAGGGTTTTTATGTAAGTTCATCTTTTGCCAGAATAGTAATGTAAAATCAGATCCACACCTTTTATATATACTTGACTTTCTTTGGAAGGATGTTGGAGAAGGGCAATGTAGTTCTTCATGTAAAAGTAGAAAAATGGCTGGAGTGTTACCTTAGTGGTTCTTTGATTTTTTCGAGAAGAAAATATAACAAGTAAATTATAACTTCATGGCCTCTCTGTCCTTTCAGGGTAGGGGTAAGTCTGCGTACATCTTACCCTCCCCATACTCACTCGTGTGAAATTACTGGGTTTGTTGTAACTTCACGAGGTGAGTAAATCCTCATCAATTTTAGCTGCTTAGGAACTGTTGAGAGTGTAAGGTTGGGACAATTGAAGGAAGTTAAGTGGGAGGGGGATGTAACAAGAACATTCAAACTATATTACCACACATATGTTCCACAAGTAAATCTTTTGTTGTTTTTAAAAATCAAAATCATCCTGATTAGGCTTTGGCGAAGTAAGCAAAGCCGTATAAAGCTTGAGTCTGTCCTCCGTTAGTGAAGAACATCGAGATAATGGTCTTCTTGGTCTAATAAACGACAACGAGGTGAGTGTCAACCTGTGTTTATATCTCCTCCAAGCCAATTGAATAGCAACTGCTGCCCAAGTTCTCCATCCTGGAGAATAATATCTAGCACTTCTCTTGACTTTTTCGTCCACAAATGTGTACCGAAAATGTTGTGTTACATACTTTACATCGTCAGCTTCAAGACCAAAGGCTTCAGTGGTTTCAAGAGTCACTAATGATGATGAGGATGGCGGCAGTCGCTCCACGAAGGGTCGTCGGAGGCACCATGAAAGAAGTTCGTCGCCGCTGAAGTTTCCGGGACCTAACATGCAGCAACTTTTTACACCGTCTCGAAGTACTTGACTACTTTGGAGATGGCCTCTCACTATGAATAACATTCTCTGAACTGGATCGCCCTCTCTAGTTATCTATCAGAAAAGCAAATATATCTTAGACGGGGAGATTATGGAGATTTTATATAGAGTAATGCATAAGTAGTAGTGGGTATGAGACATATTTCAACTCCTAGTCCCGTTCTTTATAGTGTATGTATTGCCTAATACAAATGTCTAAATTTTACATGACATTTGGACTTACTGTTTCTCCTTTTGTAAAAATCAGGGATTTCACGCGATCACATATGTTCTCCAGGACCAAATTATCCATATGCTGAAATAGAGGAACCTGAAGTATGTGCAGAAAAGTTAGTTTGGGCAACATTTATGGACCGATATGGCCCAAAATAGGTCTATCGTGTTATCCGAAAAATACACTCACCAATCAATTCTTGCAAGTAAATGTTACTTTTACTATAAACTTTTATACAATTCAAGTTTATGCATTTATGAGACGAACTTTTTTACACAATATATCATTAAGATTTTAAAAGATCTATCTAGTGATTCATATAATTAAAAAAAGTATAGTTCGGTGCATAAAGCATTTCGCGTTTGCAAAGGAGTGTGATATAGCCATATAGGCAATCTACCCTGATACAAGTATTAGTTGCTAATTTCACGACTCGAACTCGTGACCTACAAGGAGACAACTTAACCGTCTAACCTAATGATTGCTGGGATGATAGTCCGTTTATCAATTTCATATATGATTAAAATAGTCGGAAAGTCAAATCGCAAGGCGTAAGAATGGCCTAATCTACCTCATTACTATTCTATTTGACAGAATTCTCCTATTTGTTTAATACTGTCCATATACATTGTACTCCGAATTAAAGCAATGAGAAGTTTACCTGTCTGACCAAGTCCAAACAAAGATGGTATTTGATGTCCCTTCTAAGACCCTCAGGAAGGTTATGTATCATTTCGCATTCATCAACTCCACGCGTTGCTGCATATCTTTGCCGTTCATAGTTTCTCACTCTTTGCTTGTAATCCTGTGGCAATCTTCTCCTCCTCATCCACCACTCTACATTTCTCATCTTAAGTTGCATTGCCTGTTTCTTTGATGTCGTTGCATGCAAGAAAACCTGCACATATTTCATGTACCAACATATATATACACAAGACCCTTAATTATAGCATTTTCCTGTGTGTTTAATTAGGAGAGTTAATTAATATTACCTTGATGTTACCAATCAACATGGTGACCAGAAGTAGCCCACTAGTAAGAACGATGATTATGAATACTAATTCTAGCCAATCTGTTGTGCTCTCCAGGTTGCCAAAAGTACTGTAAAATATCCGTATAGACACAATATACTGGATTAATTCACTTCAACTATATTTTACCGAGTAAATTTAGAAAATTATTTTTTGGGATAATTAAAGAAAAAGAAGCTGATTAATTGTATAAGAATACCTGAGAGTCATGAGACCCCAGAAAATGGGAAAGAGTATTTTCTCAAGACGATTTTCATTAGTGACAAGTTGAACAGTCCATTTATAAGCTCCATAGTCAAAACTTTCTTCAGAGGATAGGCACGTCGATCTAGCAAGTTTGGTCTCACCCCATATGAGTCGACTTTTGTGCTTCACCAGAGTAGTTGTTCCATAATATATTGACTCTTCGCAGGCCAACATTCTGAGGCCACAACCTTTTGTAATTTCACACTGTTGTTTCAAACATTTCGCAGCCCTTTGGATTCCTAGCAAGTACCAACATGCTCCCACAGCCTGCCCATGTTATATACTACTATAGTTAAGTTCCTTTTCAGCGTATGAATAAGGGGTCGTTTGGTCCAGAACAAGGATATTCCGGGATTATAATCCAGCATCCTATATGTATATGAGATAGATAATACCAAGATTATGGTATAAAAGTTAATTATACCGGTTTTAGTAAATACCAATAATCAAATGACCCCTATTAATGGAGTCTTAATTAGTTTGCTTATATTGATGGTTTAACAAGTATTTATACAATCATGAACTAACTAATGAGATAAATTATAAATAAAATAAATATTACTGATAAACACTAATTTGTACGCTGCTAAACTAGTAATTAGCATATTCTAACAGGTTAAATATATAATACTGAAGTTAACTTATATGCGCAGTTGATTGCTCTTGATAGCACGAATTCATTATTTCCTTTTATACAAATTCTAGTAGGATGCAAGATGAGGAAATTTAAGAAATATGGCCGTTGTACGTAATTCTATTCCGTCTGATAAACATTTGAAAGCATACTATCTAACTTTTAATTATTGGAAATGAAGAAAAGTAGATTCTTTAACCGACTAATCGAGCCCGGTTAGATATCCTTTTCCAACATATATATGGTATGCCAAATTCTCTAATAATTTTGACCTGCTAAAAGATATTGACCTTTGAACTTTCCCTACACAATTAATTATCGGTTATCGAACTAAATTGAAGCTTTTAATGGGTTAGGCGGAGTGATATCCGATATAGTCCAGCCCAATGTAGATATAAGAAACGAGAAATAATAACTACTCCCTCCTATCCACAATAAGTGATTTTTTGGATGTTTTCATACAAATTAAGAAATTCACCTTTTAATCTTAATTAACAATGAAATTGACCATATTAACATTTCCTATCTCTTCACATAAACACCCCAAACACATACACCAACATTATTTACTCCAAGGGCAATATAGAAAAATAATAATTAATTCATTCTTGAAATCTGGAAAAATCACTTATTTTGGACCACAAAAAAGACCATATATCATGCCTGACTAAACTTCCTGTTATCTTCAACTCTAAGCAGTAATCTTTCTTTCTCTTCTTTTAATGTCCAATTCTTTTTCTAAAAGAGATTGTCCTCTATCTTGATAAAGGCCTATGAGATTTCACGAGCAGATTGGTGTTAAAGGAGGATGCGATATGACGCTTTAAGAATAAATATTTGTCACTTTTTTCTTTCCGAGAAATTAGTTTATAGAAGTTTGGCCAAAGTCTTAAAATATATATGTTCTTTATCAATTTAATTATGAGCAAAATTATATTGCAGCATATGACTTGTTATTTAACTAATTTTAAAACATGTTAATCTAATTCGATTTAGCGTGAGAATACATCTATCAACAAGCGAGAAATACCATATGAATTATGATTATATATTGAGAGTAACGTTTCAATAAATAATCATAAAGTAATATATATACTAAGTAAGTAGATACTTGCGTCCTGGGAGTGGTGAAAAGAAAAGAAAATAGGTATGTACTTACGTGGGAAGCGACAAAATAGGCGATCAAGTTGAGAGCAATTCCCCACCAAACAGTGCCAAATATGTAGCCGGAGAGACCTTGCATCCGCCGCAATAGGCAAACGGAGTGATAGATTTTGGGCAGGTACTGAAACAGAAACATTATTAACAACACTGTCATCACTGTTGTTATAGATCCTTTCTCCAGTAGATCTGGAATCGCTACCCACATCACTATCTGCAATAAATATATAAAAATCAACAATGAATTACTAATGCCTCCAAAAGTCTACAATCATATAAGCTACTGCATATATATGTTGCTAAAAATTATGGAAATTGAGGCACTGAGAAATCTTCTCACGCATATGACTATCACAAAATCTCTTGACCATCAAAACAATAGGAAATTATTTTTCAAGACAACATACGTTAAAAATAGTGTTTATATATATATGAAATTTGGTAATTACGATTTCTTTTTCTTTTCCTATTTCTTCGTATTTCGTAAGTTAAGGGAGCGAATAGCGAGGGTTGAGGTCAGCTCCTTCTTTTCATAGTTGGGGTGATCATCATGTAGCTATAGCATCCCCTTCCCTTTCCTTAATTTAATAATGAAACTCAAAAACGAAAACAAAAGGAGCAAATAGTGTCTTCTTATGCGTCCCTTCTCATAACAATGCAATTAATTCATACTAATGCTTAATTATTTATGCCAAGTGAAATGAAATCAACCTAAAACATCTCTTAGATTTGCTCAAATCAAGAAATGTTCGTCAAGTTTTCCTTTTCTCTTTTAATAAGTATCGACCCTTGTTCCATTTTTAATGACATATTTAAAAAATTCATTTTCTGTCTGTGCGGGCAGTTAGAAAATGGATATGCGGGCATATCACGTTAGGTAAAATCAGAAATAAAGTTATTCGGAACAAGGTGAGTGTGGCCCCTTTGGAGGACAAGATGCAGGATGTAAGACTTACATGGTTCCGACATGTGAAGAAGAGAGACACTGATGCTCCGGTGAGGAGGTGTGAGAGGCTGGCATTGGAGGGCCAACGGAGAGGTAGAGGCAGCTCGAAAAAGTATTGGGGAGAGGTAGGCAAGATATGACATTGCTCCATCTTACTGATGACATGACCATGAATAAGAATGTATGGAGATTGAGAATAAAGGTAAAGGGTTAGATAGCCAAGTGTAGTCCTTGTTTGTAACAGTAACTTTGATACACCACTTAGTGTCTTTTCGTATTCCTAGACTTCTGTTACTGCTTGTTGTTGTCTTTTGTTTCAGTTTTTTGATTGCATTACCTAGTGCTATTTTTGTATTTTTGCTTCGATTGTCAGATTGATTTGCTTGTTATTGCCTTTCCCCTTTCCTTCCTGAGTCGAAGGTCTACCGGAAATAACTCCTCTACCTTCTTAAAAGCAAGGGTAAGGTTTGCGCACACTCTACCCTCCCCAGATCCCACTTGTGAGACTACACTAGGTATGTTGTTGTTGTTGTTATTGTTATTGTTTCTGACGGACAAATTTCTGTGTAAATATTTTTAAAGTTTTGACTCTGCAATAGTGTAAATATTTCTTAAGTTATGTACATTGATAGTGTAAATATTTTTTACAATATTAATGTAGTCTAACTAGAGAGAGTAGATTAGTTGTCATATTTTAAAATATTAGTATAGGTTATATTACTTATCATAAAGATTAACTTGTAATTATCCAAAGTGATATGATTGTGTAAATATCTTTTACACCATCCGGAACTTAAAATCTTAGTGATATGTTTTAATAGAAATTGACATGGCGGGTAGACCACAAAATATTAAGGGTACTTTGGGTATGATACATCTCTTTAGTTTATGACTCAAATTTTTTATTTTTCTTAAGCTCGATATATAATAAGACGGAGGGAGTACAAAATTAATCTTTCCTCTCAAAATCCTTGCTTTAAAGAGAAGGGAAACAAGAAGGAAAACTAAGCTCCAAATGTATAAAAGGCAAGGAAAGATTAAAAACGGACTCTAAAAAATAGTACTAGTAGTCTAGTAGTACTGTTCTTCATTCAGAAGCTATGGAAGAAAAACAAAAATTCGGAAATATTCGTGATAGATTACTCGTCATTATTATTCTTCTATGCATGATAACGGTAAGTGATTGAAGTCTTGAACTCTTGATCTAAATGGGATCTCAAAATCCGTAAATATATATATGTAATTCTTCTTGTAAACAAATTTGTTTGAGTTCCTCTTTCTGTT